CCATATTCAGCGGCACTGACGACCACGACGTCGACGACTGGCTGGCTACTTACGAACTCATGAGTGTCTTGAACAAATGGGACGAAGCCACGAGACTGGCCACTGTCGGCATTTACCTCAGTGGCATTGCCCACTTATGGCTTCGGAACCATGAGACCGACGTTCCCACCTGGACAGCATTCAAAGCAAAGTTCAGCGAAGTCTTTGGTCGTCCTTCTGTCCGCAAACTTCGTGCGGAGCAGCGCCTTCAGTCGAGATCTCAACTGCCTGGTGAGAACTTTACAAGTTACATAGAAGACGTCATTGACTTGTGCAAACGCGTCGATGTAAACATGACAGAGGTGGACCGCATCAAGCATATTTTTAAGGGTATTGACGAGGACGCTTTCCAGATGCTCATTTCAAAAAGCCCTGCTACTGTCGCCCAAGTTACCGAGCTCTAGCTGCCAAAGCTATGATGAGCTCCGCCGGCAACGTCTCGTCACCCGCCGTGCTGTCCCACATCAGAAATCGATGTCCGGCTTAACTCCCTCGCAAGACCCCGTCCTCCTCTCGCAGATCAAAGATTTTGTGCGCGAAGAAGTTGCCCGCCAACTCTCGCTCACCTCTGGCTTACCGGAGCGCAGTGCACCGCTTATCCCTACTCTACGAACTATTATACGAGATCAAGTGTCTGAGGTCCTTCCTCCGCAGCTGGTGCCACCAGTCAATGCACCATTGACGTACGCCGAAGCAGCAGCACGACCACGACCACAGACGTTCCAAGCGTCGCCTCCACAGCCTGCTCCTGTTTATGCCGCCCAGCCGCCACGACCTCCAGTTCGCCGAGTCCCTAATCCATGGCGCACTGCCGACAACCGACCGATCTGCTTTTCGTGTGGTCTACCTGGGCACGTCGCACGTCTGTGCCGCCGCCGCCCACTCCACTCACGTGAAAACCTACGTCCATATGAGAACGATTACACGTACACTCAATACACCCCAGACCCCGAATTGTACGCTTCTCGTCCAAGCCACCGACCAGCTCCTGATCGCCGATCTCCTTCTCCACGTCGACGCTCGCCCTCCCCGATGCGCCGACGCCCCCCTACAATCGACGCGGAAAACTAAATGACGCAGTTCCCGAGGCAAGAACTGTGTCCTTGTCGCAAAGCACAAGCCCTCTTCGTTCGCCGCCGAATGTAATTAATGCCGTTCTTGAAGGTGTACCCGTACTTGCCCTTATTGATACTGGTGCCGCAATTTCTGTCATCGCCGAAAAAGTTTGCCGTTCAATTCGAAAAGTGACAACGCCTTACTTGGGTTCATGTCTTCATACTGCCACTGCACAGCCTGTGCAGCCTGTGGCCGCGTGTACTGCCAGACTTGTAATTGAAGGAGTGCCCTACACAGTGCAGTTCGTAGTACTCCCGCACTGTTCTCATGACATCATTTTAGGTTGGGATTTTCTCTCCCATCACCAAGCCGTCATTGATTGCGCCCGTGCCGAAGTCGCCTTTTGTCCCCTTGGTGATGCGCTACCAGTGCACGATCGCCCTTCTGACGCGAAGTTGGTCATTAGTGACGACACCCAAATCCCTCCACGCGCTACTGTCTTCGCACCTGTGTCGTGTTCCACCGTCGTCGACGCTACCGCATTCTTCACGCCTTCCGCTGCTTTCGTTCATCGCCACCTATCACCGCTCCCAACCGCTCTCGTTACTCTTCAAGAAAGTGCGACCAACGTGCCTGTGTAGAATCCATTCCGATTCACGATTAAGCTACTTCGAGGCGAATATATTGGTTCGATAGAATCATTCGAAACCATCGCTACACTTGACGTTCCTGATGAATCATCGGAAGTCAGCGCCCTCTCCTGTAATTCCGTGAATGACCCTTCCACTACCGACATTTTCAACCGTGTCATCGACGAAGGCCTAAACCCACAACAGAGGTGTGAGCTTTTGAGCCTCCTTGACAAGTTTCGACCATCTTTTGACAGTCACAGCGCTACTTTAGGTCGCACATCTACCGTATGCCACCAGATCGACAGAGGTAATCACCCACCACTACGGCAGCGACCATACCGTGTTTCGCCGACTGAACGCCGTATCATCGATGAACATGTAGGTGACATGCTAAAGCGAGGCGTCGTTCAACTATCAAACAGTCGTTGGGCGTCGCCGGCTGTTTTAGTTAAAAAGAAGGATGGCAAGATACGCTTTTGCGTAGATTATCGTCGCCTAAACGAAATAACTCGAAAGGATGTTTATCCTTTGCCTCGAATTGATGACGCCCTCGACTCTTTACAAGGCGCAGAGTTCTTTTCCTCCCTTGATCTACGCTCTGGGTACTGGCAGGTGCCCATGAATCCGGATGATAGGCCAAAAACTGCATTTGTTACACCAGACGGCTTATACAAATTTAACGTGATGCCATTCGGGCTATGCAATGCGCCGGCAACATTTGAGCACATGATGGACACTATCCTACGAGGCCTCAAATGGAACACGTGTTTGTGCTACTTAGACGATGTAGTGGTATTCTCGCCCGATTTTCCCACGCACCTTCGTCGCTTGGAACAGGTTCTACGTTGCCTCTCTGCAGCAGGCCTCCAACTCAACTTGAAGAAGTGTCACTTTGGAGCGCGCAAGCTGACCATTCTCGGACACGTCGTGTCGAAGAATGGCGTTCTTCCTGACCCCGCTAAGCTACGTGCTGTTCGCGAGTTCCCGAGGCCCGCGTCTCTCAAGCAGCTGCGTAGTTTCATTGGGCTTTGCTCATACTTCCGCCGCTTCGTCCGAGATTTCGCCTCGATCATGGCGCCTCTGACAGACCTACTTTAGGGAGACCGCAATCTATCTGCGTGGTCTCCAGCTTGCGACAGTGCCTTTGCAAAGCTCCGTGAACTGCTTACAACACCACCCATACTGCGTCATTTCGATTCAAGCGCTCCCACAGAAATCCACACAGATGCTAGCGGTGTCGGTCTTGGCGCTGTACTCGCCCAACGAAAGCCTGGTTACCAAGAATATGTTGTTGCGTACGCGAGCCGCACTCTTACAAGAACAGAAGCAAATTATTCGGTAACTGAGAAAGAATGCCTAGCGATTATCTGGGCCATTACAAAACTTCGGCCTTATCTGTACGGCCGCCCTTTCGATGTTGTTAGCGACCACCACGCGCTCTGCTGGTTATCCTCCCTCAAAGATCCCTCAGGACGCTTGGCACGATGGGCTTTACGGCTCCAAGAGTACGACACCCGCGTCATTTATCGCTTAGGCCAGAAGCACGCCGATGCCGACGCTCTTTCGCGTTCGCCTGTTTTAACTGATATTGCGAGTGTCTCTATCCAAGACAACTTCCTTCCACTATCAGGACCCATCAACATGGCTGCGGAACAGCGCAAAGATTCATGGATTGCGTCTCTGATAGATTACCTATCTGAAACACTCGCCCACCCGCCATCTCGAGCGCTACACCGACAAGCCTCTCACTTCGCCATCCTTGATGGAATACTTTATCGCCGCAACTACCACCCTGACGGTCGCAAATGGCTACTCGTCATACCCAGGCATCTCCGCGCCAGCATATGTGCTGCTTTCCATGCCGATCCGCAGTGTGCGCACGTCGGTTTGTTTAAAACCTACGCCAGGCTACGTTTTCGGTTTTATTGGCGCGGCATGTACACATTCGTTCAAAAGTACATTCGATCTTGCACAGAGTGCCAACGCCGCAAGCACGATCCTAGCCGTCCTACTGCACCAATGCAGCCGTTACCGTGCCCAGTGCGACCATTCGACCGAATTGGAATAGACCTTTATGGTCCTCTACCATATACATCAGCTGGGAATCGCTGGATTATAGTAGCGATCGACCATCTCACGAGATATGCAGAAACGGCCGCTCTACCAGCCGCGACGGCACGTGACGTTGCGTCTTTCCTGCTGCAACGTTTCGTTCTGCGTCACGGCGCTCCATGTGAACTTTTGAGGGACCGAGGCCGCGTCTTTCTCGCGGATGTTATTCGAGAACTTCTTGCAGAATGCCATGTAATTCACCGCTGTACTACCGCATATCGCCCACAAACAAATGGCTTGACCGAGCGTTTCAACCGTACTCTTGGCGACATGCTTTCTATGTATGTCGCCTCCGACCACACCAACTGGGATCTTATCCTTCTTTACGTAACGTACGCTTACAACACGGCACCTCAAGCGACGACAGGCTTTTCTCCATTCTTTTTACTTTATGGTCGAGAACCATCATCTCCAATCGACACCATTCTCCCCTACCGACCCGACTCATCCGAAGGCACACCAGTTTCTGAAGCTGCGCGGTATGCAGAAGAATGTCGGCAATTAGCTCGCACCCTTACAACACAAGAACAAGGGCTACAGAAATTTCGTCACGACGATGGACGGTCCAACTACCAATTTTCGCCCAACTCTCTTGTTTGGCTGTGGGTGCCCCCCAGTGCTGCCCCTGGTACCTCTACAAAGTTTGTCAGCAGGTACCATGGACCTTATCGCGTCATAGAACAAACTTCCGCTGTTAACTACCTCATCGAACCCCTCACGGCCACTGTGGACCTGCGTCGCCGAGGCCGCGAAATCGTACATGTGAATCGCCTCAAACCATATCACGAACCACTTGTCCTCACGACACCTTAGAACACTTACTTGGCACCATCTTCAGCGAGGGGGAAATATGTAATGATGAATGTAGTGGGTCATGCAAATCTCGGCACACACACTGTCAGTGCTAAGCACGAGACGCTCAGCCCGGACTGTCGCTGATTTCGCTAGCTAGGCCTACGCTCCTACCTGGTCTCGGATAACAGTTTTGACTGTCTCCGTTCTATATTATAGCTCCAAGGCTTTCTCTCCGAGCAACAATTTACTCAACCATAAACTTGCATTACAGTGCCCTAAAACAGAAGTACAATTCAGTGAGTTTGTATTATTCATAATGTGATCAGAAGCACCTTCTTTCTAGTGTGTAAAAAAACTAAAGAAGAGTCAGCTTTTCCCTTGATTTTATTGAATCACAACCGAAGGGCATTAGAAAATGGCAAAATTACTTGCATAACACCATGTACATATGCACAATAATTGAATGAGTGCTAAACAGCATTGCATCTAGAAAACCACAGTGCAGACAGAACAACGTAACTGCAACATTTGCTTGAATATCACGCTCATGCTGAACTGTCATTTGAGTGAGCAAATAAGAAGCTTTTGGCTTGTGCACAGCATTGTGCACAGCAGTTAAGAAACTGTATATGAGTGCAGCGCATGTCCTGGTGCACATCTGACTGCGTGCTCAACAATGTAAGCACGCCTGCCATACATGCAATACAATTTGTTTCAGCAGCATGCTCAAACTTTGCGTGATGCAATACGCAGTTGTGCTGTGCTTGCGTTGGGTCGACTGTAGAGAAAGATCGACCCCATGACAAGCAATGCACCAGCCACAAACTGCCAGCTGAGATGAAATTCAAAGGCATACACTGATACTGCACATGAAAGCACAATGGCAAGCGAAGTGGCAAATCCCTTGAGTATGTTGTCAGCATACTTAACAACAACTGCAACTAGCAGCCCGCCAAGGGCTTGTAAAAGAATGACAATCCAGATTAGTGTACTGTAGCCATAAAAGAATCCTTTGTCACGAACTTCAGCATAATCATTGGCAAGTGTTGTGAGCAAGCCGAAGGGGACTGCAAAGGTACTCAGTTGGACATTTCGCATCCACACAGAAACATCACTGCCTTTAAGGATCTTTTCGAAGTATACACCTGCGAATCCAGACAGGCAGCAAGCTGCCAGGATGGCCAGAAAGCCAACCAGGGGCTGCTGCACATGGCCCTCCACTGTTTTGGGATGAACAGCAATCTGTGCCAGTTGAACAAGTGCAACACCCACAAACAGCACCAGCAGTGCCACCCACTGGACACCTGCAAGCTTCTTGTTGAGCAGTGCCAGTGAGAAAAGGGCAGTAGTAATGATCTTCAGTTGGTAGGTGACCTGCAGAGAAAAAAAATTTACACAATTCCATTACGTGAAGTTACAGTAGAAAAAGATTAGCACAAGTTATTTCAAAAAGACTTACTTTTGAAGCGAGTTAGTGCTTAGGTATACTTGACTGTGACACAAAATACATTTCACGAAAAGGGGGAAGAACAGAAGAAAGTGAAGCGTCAGCATATGGTTCATGAAGACACAACATAAGGAACAACGCTCTATATCTAAAGATTCCACAACATGAAGGAACGAAGTTGGCTTTTCATTTTCTTCTCCCCCTATTTCATGAAATGTATTTTGTGCCACAGTCAAGCATACCTAAGTTACTAGCACAAGTGAATGATGATGGGTAATACTCCTGACACACTGGCACCCACGAATGCAGTTTAACTCCCTCATCTTTACAACAAGGGAGATTCGGTCCGTGTCACACGGCCACCCTTACACAAACGAAGGTAAACGAAGCATTTTGCAAAGGAAGCTTGGTGACCTCCCTTTGCAGCGAAATGAGGTACTCTTGTCCCCAGTAGTCTGCAGGTCAGAAAAAATTTCACGCACTAAATTGTCGCAGTGAAAACAATAAAACATTTGGGCAATATTAAGCGTTCTTTCATTGTAGTACTCATTCATAAAGTGTGTTTTACACACACACACACACACACACACACACACGTACGTGTGTGTGTGTGTGTGCATGCATGCGTGCGTGTGTGTGTGTGTGAGAAACAATAGACTCGTTTCAATTGAAACCTGAAGGGATCAGGAAAATGTGTTTCCTTTAAGAGGAGTTTCGTTTATTGAGAGATAAACAGGGGTGTGTGTGTGTGTATATATCCCTATATATATGCATACATAGAGCTGTCGAAATCGACATATTGATGTCGATTTTTCTCTGGACTCTCTCGTGCTACTGTGGCTGCCATCCCGTCGTGTCGGCCTGTGCGAGAAACTTTTATCGCAATACGTTGGGCCTTACAGAGTTCTGAGCCAAGTCACACCTGTCACCTATGAAATTTCTCCTACTACAAACCCCACTGTTACATCCAGAAGTGACATTGTGCATGTTTCTCGCCTGAAGCTCTATCACAGTGACCCGTTCGTCTAATAAAAGCAGGCACCGGGACAGTGCTTTGCCGCCCTGAGTAATTTCACGGGTATGGAAAGGTACCACAGGCACGGGCGCAGAAATGACGCAGAAGGGATGAAGACGACAATGTTATTGTGGGGCCGTGTCTGGACTGCCCTGTTGTTCCGCATCCTTGCACACTGTGTGCAGTGTTAGCCCAACCGGCGTTAACTTATTAAATACTCCCCTTTACATATTTTTGGTGGAGGTGCGGGGTAACATTCCGACTCTGTATCTCCGTAGCGGACGTCAGCTTCGTCCAGCCACGATGCCTGAAGGCAGTGCACCGTCCGTTCAGTCTATGCCTGCTTTGTCACCTGTGTTCCCTTCCCATCTTCTCGATCCAGGTACATTTTGCGGCACCGACACAACTGACGTTGATGAGTGGCTCACCTTATACGAGCGCGTCAGCAAGCAATACAGGTGGGATGAGACGCTTATGGTGGCCATTATCATCTTTTACCTGCGAGGTACTGCACGCGCTTCGTACGAGACGCACGAGGAAGACCTGACGAGTTGGGACATGTGTAAGCAGAAGCTTCGTGACTTGTTTGGACGGTCAGCTGCTTGAAAAATGGCAGCCAGGCAGGAACTCGTGTCACGAGTTCTATCTTCCAACGAGTGTTACGTCACCTATATCCAAGACGTGCTCGCCTTGTGTCGGAAGGCCGACAAAAACATGGCTGAACTAGACAAGGTCAGCAATGCGTTGAAGGGCATAGCCGACGATGCCTTCAACATTCTGATACGATATGCAAGAACTGTACCACCATTGACTCAATTGTCAGTGAATGTAGGCGGTTCGAAGAAGCCAAAAGCAGGAGAATCACTCAACGTTTTTCCCGACTCCCGAACACCGCTGCGACTTCTTCCTGCGAGAATCCTGTGGCGCCACGTCCATTGGTGAATCCTCCAAACATCACAAGAATTGTCCGCCAGGAGCTGGAGGCCATGGCTCCTTCCGCTTATCAACCCCCTGTGCCTGACAACTTGTCCCCAATATTTCTTATTCAGGCTGTTGTGTGACAAGAGTCTGCCAACATGGGCGTCTTAGTTCCCCAAAACTCCGGCCACACACCGCAGCTCATAAATCCTAATGCTCACTATCACGCCACCCCACTTGTTGCTGCTGCAGCATCGGTGCCACAGTTCTCATCGCGCTACCGAAATCCATCTGAGTGGCGCACACAAGATGATCGACCGATGTGCTTCTCTTGCCGTCGCGTTGGCCACATTTCCCACCACTGCTGCAACAGGTGGTCGTTCCGGCAACGTTTTCTAGACTACCACTGACAGGGTCGAGGGCAGTATTCGTCACCTCGTTTTGCCGATAACCACCTTCAGGACCTTCCACCTAGCCGTACTACGCAACGCTCCGAACCATCCTACACCGATTCCGTCGGCCAGGGAACTTTGTCCAGCCACTCGCCGTCGCCTCAGGGTCACCAGCCGCGCTCCTATCAACGCCGTCGCTCCCTGTCACCAGCGTATTCTGGGCAGTTCTCGGGAAACTAACAGATGCAACTCCTGGAGGTGGCGCTGCATTGACAACTCAGACCGAAAAACCTCTACCGACTACTAATTCTAGACGAAATTTACTTGGTGTTCTTATCGATGGCCTGACCGTTACAGCTTTAATAGACACAGGTGCCCACATATCCGTTATGAGTTCACGTCTTCGATCCCGCCTGAAAAAGACTATGCGAGTAGCCGACAGCAGCCGAACATCAGTTCTTGGTATGTGCACTGCCCCCGTCACTGTTGTTGGCCTTCACACTTTAGTCCTCTTCGCTATTCTAGACACTTGCCCACACGACGTGATTCTCGGCATTGACTTCCTGACCGCGCATTCAGCCCTCATCGATTGTTCAACCGGCACTTTACAGCTAGAGTTGCCTTTGTACTCTGATGTCCCTCTTCCAGCTCGCACACGGCTATGGTCCCTGGAGTGTCTTCGATTTCCGCCTAAGGCCGCTGTGTACCTTTCTATGTCGCTGTTCCCACCTGTTCCTGATGGCGACTACTTGGCAGTTCCACTCATTGACCTGACCCTTTCTCGAAACATCATACTTCCTCATACAATAGTGAAGATTAGTGAAACAAGACGCTTCTCCCTGTCCTCAACTTCTCCGTGTCGACCCAGGTCATTCTTCAAGGTATTGCCTTAGCAGAACTTTCCACTCTGGAGCAATGTAGAATTTCATCTCTCACTCCTGACATCAAGACCCTAGCCGAACCTGTCACAGCCGCACACAATAGAGCTTTCTTCGACAAAATGATATCAAACGACCTGTCGCCGTCCCAAGTTGAAGCGCTCCGTGGTCTTCTATTTTCTTACCTCAACATTTTTTATATCGACAACCGTTCCTTGGTCCGCACGAGCATCGAAGCCCACCGTATCGATACTGGCGACGCCAGTCCCCTTCATAAGCGTCTTTACCTTGTGTCTCATTCAGAGCGCCAAATAATGCAGAAGGAGGTACAGAAAATGCTTGACAAAGACATCATAAAGCCTTCAACCAGTCCTTGGGCATCACCTGTTGTGCTTGTTAAAAAGAAGGACAACACCTGGCGGTTCTGCGTCGACTATCGCCATCTCAATCGAATAACCAAGAAGGATGTCTATCCTCTACCTCGAATTGATAATGCGCTTGACTGCCTTCATGATGCCAAGTATGTTTCTTCCCTAAACCTATGATCTGGATATTGGCAAATTTCAGTCGATGACCACGACCGCAAGCAGACGGCATTCATAACACCCGACGGGCTTTATCAGATTAAAGTCATGCCTTTTGGGTTGTGCAATGCGCCAGCAACTTTTGAACGCTTGATAGACTCCCTCCTTCGCGGTTTTAAATGGTCGACGTGCCTGTGCTATATAGACGATGTCATCGTTTTCTCGCCAACCTTCGAAAGCCATCTCCTACGTCTGTCGGCCATTCTTGACGTTTTTCGCTCTGCTGGCCTCCAGCTTAATGCGTCTAAGTGCACCTTTGGGCGCCGTCAGATAAAGCTACTTGGTTACCTTGTTGAAACTACTGATGTACAACCCAATCCTGATAAAGTCCGCGCGGTGAGCGAGTTGCCGGTTCCCCGTTCCACGCAATAAGCCCGCAGATTTTTCGTACTCTGTTCATATTTCCGCCGTTTTGTCAGCAACTTTGTGGAAATTGCTCGGCCTCTCACGAATCTCCTCAGAAAGAATGTGGCTTTTTCCTGGCGTGAAGACCGAGAACATTCCTTTGCGTCGTTAGTTTCTGCCCTCACATCACCACCTGTGTTGGCTCATTTTGACCCAGCTGCTCGAACGGAGCTTCGCACCGAGGCAAGTGGCCATGACATAGGGGCAATACTCGCACAAATGCAGAACGGCACAAACTGTGTCATAGCATACGCTAGCCGCCTACTTTCTCGGTCGGAAAGGAACTATTCAATTACTGAGCGAGAGTGCCTGGCTCTCATCTGGGCTATCGCAAAATTTCGTCCGTACCTATATGGACGCACGTTCGCAGTCATCACAGACCATCATGCGCTCTGCTGGCTGTCAACCCTTAAGGATCCTACAGGAAGACTCGAGCGATGGGCATTGCGATTGCAGGAGTACACGTTCTCTGTAGTGTACAAGTCAGGCAAGCTTCACAGCGATGCCGACTGCTTATCTCGACACCCTAATGATCCACCCGACTCCTCTGAGTTGGAAGCTGATGCCAACATCTTAGCCATATCCATCGCTGCTATCGATGATTGACCGTCTTCCATCCGGCCATAAAGACCCTTCACTGAGCCTATTTTTTCTTCAAGACAAAGTTTTGTACCGCCGCAACTTACAGCACGATGGCGCGGAACTTTTGCTGGTCGTCCCACGTCATCTGTGCAA